TAGGACCTATCAACAAATGTTTTTGAATTCCATATATAGAATTGTCAAATTTGTTATAACGAATTAAATTCGTTATAGCAATTTCTTTGAAATCGTTATAACGAATTTAATATGTTATAACAAATTTGTTGCATTCATTATAACGAATTCAAAAAATTGTTATATTAAATTAAATTCGTTTAAACGAATTCTAAAATTTGTTATAACAAATTAAATTTGTTTAAACAAATTCTTAAATTTGTTATAACGAATTAAATTCGTTTAATCAAATTCAACATTCAGGGTCGGTAGAAAAATTTATATGAATTCGATATAACGATTTGTCGAATTCGTTTAAACGAATTTAATTCGTTATAACAAGTTTTAGAATTCGTTTTAACGAATTAAATCTGTTATAACAAATTTGTTGAATTTGTTATAACAAATTCATCAAATTTGTTATAACAGATTTAATTCGTTATAACGAATTCAAGGAAATTGTTATAACGAATTAAATTCTTTTTAGCAAATTCAATAATTCGTTATATCGAATTCAAAATAATTTTGATAGGTCCTAAATGGGCTTCCGTAGTGATTTGATATTGTTTGGGTCGAACAAATTGTATTCCCGATCATTTGGTTTGAGGTATTATACCGTGAATTATAACAATTTAAAATTTAGACATTTATTACAGGTTTGCAACAATTCAGGTTTTTATTCGATGCTGAATCTAGAAGTCTGCAGGTGGCACTACAGTATTAAATCCAGGCGGTATAAAACAAACTTTTGAGAGTATCCATTTTCAAATATCTGTATACATTTTAGCACCAAAAACGCATTGCCATCCAGCATGACACGCAAGTTTGTTTCGGTCGAAGTTGAGAGGTTCTTGAAAATTAAGTACAGGGCCTGATCACTCCCCCTTCAAATACAACACCCATGAAATTCAGCACGCCCAAAATTTTAATAAATCTGGTACAATCAGAAAGTTTACATATAGATTTTCATCTCATAAAAAAAATCAGTCCAAGTCTCGTGCAAAAAATACCCGAAATGGGATTGTAAATTTAAGAATTGTTTTGCATCGTAAATATTTTGACGTGAACCTCCAACGTAATACTGTTATGGCACCTGCAACAAGCATGTAACGAGCATTAATTATTATAACTCCCATCTTGAAAAGTGGGGATATATAGTGATGAGGATTTTTTTGTCATTATACCCGTCACACTTCCTTTAACCGCAACTCTTCTAACACCACTGAGTGCAATTTGATGAAGCTTTCACCAAATTTTAATTACATAACTCCATGCATTGTGCATCTCCTTTTCTACGTTTGATCGGACACATATATATTTGGAGTATCCATGGCAAAATATGGCCACTGCGATTCTTTCTATAATATTGGGGGTATCCGTCTCTTATCCGCAACTCCTTCTATACCACTGAATAAAATTTAATGAGACTTTCACAAAATTTTTATAAGATAGTGCCATTGTGCACCTCCTATTTTATATCCTGACCAGACAGATATTTTGGGTTTCCCAGGGCAAAACATAGACACTGCCATTCTTTCTGTTCGAGTTTCCCATGGCAAAACATGCACCCATCTTTCCTTAATATTGGGATACCCATCTTTTCTTCACAAGTCATTCTATACCACAGAATACAATTCAATGAGATTTTCATAGAATCTTTATTACATAGTGCCATTTCGACACATATATATTTGGGGTATCCCTGGCAAAATACGGCCACTGCTATTCTTTGTATAATATTGAGGATACCGATCTTTTATCCACAACTCCTCCCATACCACTGAATAAAATTGAATGAGACTTTCACAGAATTTTTATCACATAGTGCATCTTCTATATCATATTCTGATCAGACAGATAGTTTGGGTTTCCCACAGCAAAAAATGGTCTTCACCATCAAACTCATATGGTAGTGGAGGGACATCATTTTGTGAGCCTGGTGCTCACAGTACCTTTCATTTTAATATCAAACTGTCCCGTGTTGTGTAATTTATTTCTATGCCTCGCGAGATCGTGTGAGTGTGTGTGTGTGTTATTCTGTCATAAACTTAATCCTTAATAATAACTTTTGAACCATAGTATTTAGAACCTTTATATTTGACAGAGTTTGAGATTTATATTAGACCATCAATATTTTTTGCCATATATAACTGGAGTTGTCTAATGTTTTCTACCGTTCACGGTAGCTCAGTCGGTAGAGCGCTCGCTCCGTGATCGTGAGGTCGTGAGTTTGAATCTCTTCCGCGACTGACCTAAGTCGATAAAAAATGGGTAGCAACTGTTCCTTCGCCATGCGCTCGGCACTTTGAGGTGAAAGTTGTGGGTTCTTCGGATGAGATCTTAAAAACGGGGGCCCCGTGTCACGGAAGGCGTTGGCATGATAAAGATCCCTCACTGCTCGATGGCCCTGAGTGCCGAGTAAAGGTCAAAATTTGAAGCCCTTCATCGGTATATGGTGACGTCTCTATATGAGTGAAAAATTCTCAAATGGGACGTAAAACAACATACAATTGATCAATCAATCTAAGGTTTTGTTTCCTTCATAAGCAAAAAAAAAAAAAAAAAAAAAAAAAATAATAATAATAATAATAATAAAAAAATAAAATAAAAAAAAATCATCAGACGTATTATTGAGGGGCACAAGCATAGTAGCTATGTTTTCTGAGTATTCTCTATATCGACAAAATTATTGGGTCCCCCCGTGCCCCCCGGTTCCTACGGCCATGTTGACAGTTTAATTCGTGTTATTATTTTGTAGTTTGATTAAACCCATTTAATTTATTGTCTTTCATTAGAGATAGCTACTCTGGGCATTTGTGTTTATAAAACATATCCTGGCCCCAAGACCATAAACTGAGAACAGACTTAAATCAAAATTTCAAATTAGTACAACTTGTAAAATAATTTTGAAAATAAAATCAATTTTTCAGAATGAGTTTGTATTTGAATATTGTACAAACTTGTGCAATTTATAAATGATTTTTCTGATATAAAAATTGAGATATTAAATATCTAAATCTTGACATTAGTCTGTTCTCAGTTTATGGTCTTGGGGCCTGGTCTTTCATGCATATGAGTAATACAATCTGAAAAAAACACATCATAATCATATTTGTTATTCATTAAAACTATAAAGACAAATTAGTCGTTATATATACGTTGCTACTTCATTGTTCTGTAAAAGACGTTTTTTTCTTTGCACAGTTGTATATTAAATTTGAACTTCATATGAAAACACACTTCCGTTGTGTACAGCATTGCGATATGTGCCTACGAACAAAGTAAATGAAGACCTAAAAATAAATAGGTCTACGCAAATTGAAATGATTTTTTTCTTCGGATTACGGCTTTTTCTATTTTGTTGGAAATAGTGAGCTTCTCAAACTGTATTAGCTGCCTGACTATTGTTTTTCCTGATATCTTCCGTAGACTGAATTGTCCATTTCTAATGAATGTTCAAGCTATACACCAAAACCAGAACTAGAGGTACTGTTAGTCCGAAATTTATGACGTTTTCCTGGCTTTATTACGATTTGATATTTTACGTGCCAGGAAAACGTCAGAACCGGCGCCATTACTAAAACTGGGAATTCGCCGCCTCCAACGTAAAATATCAAATCGTAAAAAAAGGCCAGGAAAACGTAAGATATTTCGGACTAAGGTACTGTGAGCACTGAGCTCACCAAAATGATAACCCCGATCCCGTATGAGTATAATGGCAAAGTCCATTTTTTTTGCTATGGAAAATTCTTAATATCATAAAGTAGGATGTCACAATGGCACTATGTAATAAAGGTTCTGTGAATGTATCATTAAATTTTATTTAGTGGTATTGGATGAGTTGCGGATAAGAGATGGGTACCCCCCAATATTACAGAAAAAAAATGGCAGACTGGTGTCTATGTTTTGCTATGGGAATCCCGAGTATATATTTCCGATCAAAAAGTAAAATAGGAGGTGCACAATGGCACTATGTAAGAAAGATTCTGTGAAAGTCTTACTAAATTTTATTCAGTGGTATAAGAGGAGTTGCGTACCCCAAAGCGTAACGGACGGACTGATGGAAGGACGGAAGTACAGACGGACGGAGACCCAATCATTAAACCCCCCCCCACTCCGCTGTTCAAGGGGAAGGGGGTTTTATAAATAAGAGATTTAAGCCGTCGTGCAATTTTTTTGTAATTATAAAGTATCTACATAAATAGGAATTTTAAAATGTCTAAGTACCATAATAAATTGAAGCACACTCATATTAAGACAAACTCTCAGTATGTAGTGTCGAAGTATCAGATTATAATGGAGAAGTATTAGGATATAAATATTAAAATTTCAGCATACCAATCAAAGTATATTATCCACATTAGACAAGGCGTTCCGCTATTTTGCTTAGTACAATAGATAAAATTTTCTAAAAGGTCATAAAGCAAGAAACATGTCTACGATCTGATATAAACTTTTTTTAAAACATTTATGTAAATAGGGAGTATGCAGGTAAATGTTTTTTATATAAACAATTACTTGTGTCTTTTAACAAAATTGTAAAGCTTGTACATCTGTATATGTATTGAATGATTGCAGTAAAACATTTGTATGTAAGAACTGGAATAAACGGATATATTTAATCTTAAAACAATATTATATTTTTCATACAAGAAATACATGCTTACAACAATTTTAAGAGAGAGAGAGAGAGAGAGAGAGAGAGAGAGAGAGAGAGATTTGTTTGTGGACAAAACATATTTAGAATAAAGATTGCATATTTTTAAAATGAGTATAAATTATAAACCAAAATATGGAAATCATGTATTTAATCAACTTTTCAAAAGTCCTCCAATTCACCTATTTATAATTTTTTTTCTAAAATTCAGATAAAATTATTCTGAATAAAGCTTAGATCATCCACATAAATATGTAGAATTCTAGAAATGTACCCTTATCTCTCTTCTTCTCCGCCTTCTCCCAGAAATATATTAAAAATCAGGATTATTGATCAAATTTATTGCACCCCCAAAAGAATATACATAACAATAGTTAAAGTTATATCGGAATAAGACTTAAGTGTTACATTGTAGGTATATGCCATCATTTTCTTTTTGTAATCATAATAAAAATCATTGATTGAAAATTAACATATTACTACTAATTCCTGGTCTCTGTTTATATTGTGAATAATAATGATAATCTAAATATAAAGATTCAATTCCTTAACATTCTATAAACCCAAGAGCAAATGCATTATCAAAAAAGTGCACTTAGCATGCTTTTTAAGAACAAAGGTTTTGCAAATTCATGAGACTCGCAAAAATCGCAGAAAATTACCAACATTAGCTATAGAAGTAACTAAATTTACTTTGTATGGTCTCAATAGTATTTAAGTTTCATATCTTTTAAAATATAAAGGATCTTTTTGTGTAGATTTTTTTTCTTTTGAAAAGCAAACTTTGGAGTCTCACCCAATTTTGTCCAAAAAATCAAATGAATCTAGATGAAAAAAGTTTGACCTGGATATCAAAAGCAAAGCAACAAAGTTTATTTCGGAACTATTATGTATCCAGATTGACTGAAAGCAGCGAGCGATGATCTTTCTATTTTTAAGCAGCAGGTGCCCCGATAGTAGGTGTGTGACTAATGACGAAGATCGCACTCAAGTCAGAAGACTCCAAATCACTCTGTGGTGTTGATTTCAGTCTTTTACAAGAACATTTAGTGAAGCCCAAGGACACGGCACCCAAGGCCATCATTACTCCAGCGGTATAGAAAGGAAAGTCGGCGTCATCCACTAGCACAGACAAAGCACCTAAAAATGTTCAGAAGATACATAGATAAATAAACTTTTCTGCTATAAAGGTATATGATTTTTTGGTAGCATAGTTATTCAACTTTTCCTTTATTAACAACAGATCAAACCTGCCAGTTTCCGTCATTTTTGCGTCTTCTGTCTTGAAATAGGGGCACTTAGAGTGTTTTATCATATTCTTAATTGTTAAAGACAAAAACAGATTATTAATTGCATTGGAAACATACATGAGGGTTATTTAGTTCCTTTTAGAGTTTACCCTTTAAGGTAGAAAATGAAAGGTTGACAGGGTTGAATTTGCTTTTTTTTTTATTTCGCTTTTGTATTAGTTTTTTTTAGGAATACATATGGCTAATTTTACACTTCGGTTTTAATGACATACGTGCAAAAGTTTTGCTCATGTCTTTTTAAAACCTTTCCTACCCATACTTTCCGGTATATAAGAGAAAAAGAGCTAAGGTACAAAATCTACTGAATACACCTACTCATATATATTTATCTTAATTAATTAAACAGTAATGACAGATGTGGAATTTTTATGCTTTAAACGACAGGGCATTAACTATCATTGTTGTTGATTAATTATATGTCTTTGCATCCGTTTGATATTCTATATCGTGGAACTAAAAACTTACTTGTCGCTGGACCGGCCATCAAAGATCCGACTCCAAAACTTAAATTGATCACGCCATAACTGGTTACTAATCTGTCAATACCAAACAGGTCTATCAAAACCATAGATTGTAGGCTGTAAAGGGAACCTAAATCAAATGAAAAGAGAAATACGCTTTGAATATTGCTAATATAAATCATAACTACATGTACATGTATCATTTGAACAAGTTAATAATTTAAGTTAACTTTTCTTGTAACTTGTTCGGCATGAATAAAATTCACCCCATTATCAAAGATGTTTGTGAAAAAAGAGCATCATTCAATTTTTTATGCTTATTTTACCACAATGTGTTTTAACAAGTCTCTGGTTTGTACTTATGATAAAAAGTCAAACAAAACATTAGAGTAATATATTGCTTGGAATAATCTCACGAAAATTTTAATTTTTAGTACCCATGGTGGAAATCAAATATAAAATCGGATGAATACAGAATGATGACTCATAGTGAAAACTAAAGGAGTAGTAGTGATTTGAAAGAATTTCACAATTTTTTTTTCTCACCATAGTAATACTGTACATTGAAATCAAAAATTAATATAAAAAATCATTTATCAAGGTGTAGTCTACTTATGTACCAAGTTTAATGAAATTTGAGGTAGCATTTTGAACTTGTCAATTGTTAAAAGACAGACAGATGACGGACACCTTACCATCGCATAAGCTTATCTGTAATTGACCATAAAGCTAAAATTCAATGTAATTTATTCAACATAAGAGTTATCCGAAAATATGTATGGTTAATATGTTATTAAAATATATGTAAGAATTTTATTTCATCAAGGTATATGTAATGTTTAAAAACGTAGTTGTAATGAATACGAAAAATGAAAAGATATTTTTTTTAAAAAGAGAAGATACAACTGTGTTCTCGTTAGAAGATTACTTTCATTATACATTACATAAAGCGGGTCATCCTGTGTACTCGCCCTGAAATAAACCTAATGATTAGATGTCAAAAATACAGCTAAGGATTGTTAACATTTACATTTTTCTCTCCTCTTTTCAATGAAGAAATTGATAATTCTACAAAACGAGGTTATTCTACAGAAAACATACCTGTTGACACTCCAAAAACGCAACTACCTATGATAAGAATAACGTATCTTTCTGCAAAGGCGTACAGAGCCATAGAAACCGAACTAATGAGAAATGCAGCGATGAAGGATCCTAGTCGTCTGCACTGAGATTTCCCAGTGAGAATTCCGATCCCTATTCTTCCAGTGATGCTAGTAAAACCAATAGCAGAAATCAACATGGCCGACAATTCCAACGAGAAACCAAGTCTTTCGGCCTTTGAAGGTATAAACAGGAATGGAATGGTGTCGGAGGCACCAAACATCATGTTTGAAAATATCATTGGAAAGAAGTTATAGGAACAGAAGACATCTTTGTCGCAAAAGGTCCTCTTCATTTCTGAGAAAGTTGATTTTTTTTCTGGAATGAGATTTACTTTGTTTTATTGAAATGGCTTTTATACAATATATAGCTTCTAGTATGTTAAAATAAAAGTATTGTCATATATGATTAAACTAATCTTATTCACCGATTTTCTTTGGTTGCTTTTCCTTTTGACGGTATATAATACCGAAGAGAAACCCGTTTAGGTAGAGAGCAGAACAGACCAAAAGCGTTCCCTTTAGACCATAAAAGTTGACCATAAAGGAGAACAAGATCGGGAAAACAATGAATCCCAAACCTCCACCAGCAGTACTCAATGCTATGACAAGACCTCGTCTACTATCAAAACAATCACTGACCATAAATGTTGATGGAAGTGCCATTAGGCCTAACCCCAAGCCTGACAAAAAAGGTTCAAATGTTTATATTCAAAATATTTTGAGGTTGTATCGAAATAAAAAAAATGATTTAAATTGCTTTAAAATGGCAAAAAGTGTTAAAATTTAATTCATTAGAAAGTCAAATAGCATGACTTTTTTCTTACCAGGAAATAGTCCCAAACCTACTAAAATCAAAGGTACTGTGTCAGTGAATGTCACCAGCAAAAATCCAGCAAAAGTGATGACGCCGCCTAAAGATGTCAGAAATCCGCAGCTTGTGATTCTCGTTAAAACTGATATAACTGGAGCTGAAATAATAAAATATAAATACATATACACCAATGTAGTATTTGGTAAAAGACTCAACATTTAATAAATATTCAATTTACTAATTAAAAGTAATTTGGCTATAAAACATAACACATACCTAGTAAAAGAGGAATGGCATTTACCATTGCCCCTGTCCACGATAGTCCCGTGGGGCTGTCTTTTAATCTCTTCTCAAATTCTTCCTGGATAAGTCCAATACTGCTTCGGGTACCGGCAAACAAGAACCATGACAGAAAACTAGCGATGACGATTATCCAACAAAAACCACCATCTTTCTTCGCAGGTTCAGTGGGTTTCGGACAATGTGCATCCGTTAAAATACGATGGAGAAGAACTTTGGGCAGTTCTGGACAAGAAATATTTGGGCTGAGCTCGTCAATATTTTTCCCCACTTCCACCTCATTGGTATCACTGCCAGAGACGCCATCGACAACTGATTCGGGTTCCTCTTCATTTTCTCCGTCTTTACTACTTATTCCTACTTCCTCTGTCTCCCTATATGTAGCAACCTCAGGATCGTCCTTAGGGAGTGCAGTCTCCCTCTCCATTCAATGAAACCGTAATCTGGAGGTAAAGATTTTGACTCTGGCGATAAAATTATTTTGTTTAGAAGATTTCGGTTGCATGATACCCATTTATAGTTTAAAAAAGAGGTACACGGAGGGAAGAAACTTTGAGTCTGCGCAAAATGACAAGAATTAAATGTCATGAGATAATTAAACATTTATTTATGCGTTCCTTCTTTTGCTATGAATTTATTCAAAATTTTCATTGGAATTCAGGGAGATTAAAACTGGCTAAACAAGAAAGCTCTAAGGAACAGCAGAAAAGTTATGATCTGATGGTTGGTTCTTGAGTTTCCTGTCAAAAGCGCAATGTCTCGAAAGATTAAGAAATTATATGAAGCACAAATTTGCAAATCATGATTTAGGATATATCCAATTTATATCATCAGTCATGTCAACTCATATACAATGCATTAGAATAGAAATTGACAAACGGTAAGCTGGAAAAAAGTGTCCGGTCCGGTCCTTCTCTTGCACCCCTCCATTTTCATATATTAGCTTTAACACTTAGATTTCACCAGAAAGTTTTTAACAATAAAAATGTCCTCTTACTGATTAAAAAAAATGAAAAAAGTAATAAAAATGAATAAATTTAAAACTTTCATGTCTGTTAGGTATCCAATTAATTTGGCCAATTGAAAAGATAAAGTTACACAATTTTAAGACGCATAATAAACTGGGTATTCCTTTACTATTTCGAGTAATTTGTTTATTATTTACTATCAAAATTCGAGTTTTGGAAAATCCATTCGTGATCCTGCATATGCTAATGTTCATTGTATACCCGTTGTTAGCATGAAATTGCAATAACAATTCATTAGGATATCTGCGTTTTAAGAAGAGATCAAAACTGTCCTTGAAATCAGTATGCATGTCATGTTTTGGGATGTTATTTTTGCAAGTTTTATCTTTCCTACAAAATTCAGTTGTAAAATGAAAAAGACATTGTCCAAGTTTGAGGTCTTCTTGGTACATTTTCAGAAAAAATGAGGAAAATGGTTCGTGTTTATGTCAAAAATTATAACATAAACAATGAACTACAGTGTTGATGATTTTTAAGTATTTCATTGAATTTTATCTGACGAATAATCTTTCTATTTATATGAATATAAATGAGTATTTTTGATGGCAAAACTTAGTAGCATTGATATATGCCCTTCTGTTCTATAGATATACATGTATATATATATATATATATATATATATATATATATATATATATATATATATATATATATATATATATATATATATATATATATATATATATATATATATATATATATAGATATATATATAGATATAGATATAGATAGATAAATATATATATATATATATATATATATATATATATATATATATATATATATATATATATATATATATATATATATATATATATATATATATATTTAGATATAGATAGATAAATATATATATATATATATATATATATATATATATATATATATATAATTTATAGGAACTCCAAATGCTTATTCTTCAAAAATCCGTTTTAATTTTTTGTTGTTGCTTTATTGTCTTTCAAATTGCTCCATTTTATCTTTTTCTAGTTGAAGTATTTTGAGAAAATAAGATTTATCACTTCAGCACCATTAATTAGTGATAATTTATTTGTTCAATTATGTATATCACACTTTACATCAGAACATCTGACAGACCGGATTTATTTCATCGATTTCGTTTCAATTGGTTTTCAACATTTAAATTATACATGTAAGATTGTAAATATATGTAGGATTTAGTAATTTAGATGTACTCCTACATGTTCTTCTTCACCCTACAACTATAGTCCTGACAGACATGTCATTACTGATAATGTAACAATAGCTAATAACAAGGACCTTTAATCACTTATTTTGAAAGGGCCAACATTTAGGGAACCCCCGATCTTTCAACTGGCGTTAAAATTTCATAAATATGAATTATGTGGAAGATTACGCCAAAAGATGGGTCTAATATGAAAAAAAAGACCTTGACGATTTTTCAGAATAGATTAAAAGTATCAAATAGATATATAGATGTTGAAATTTCGCATTAAACGTTTGATGGACAACATGAAAACCATCTTAAATTATCATGAAGTGAGAAAAGTTAATTAGATAGATTACACAATCAATATGTACTGGATCCAGCTGACAAAGCAGGTAACAAAATTGTCCTTGTTCGCAAGGCTCATTATTTTAATTGTATATTAAAAGAACTTGGATTTCATTTTGCAATTGCTAATTCAACTTATACATATACAGTCATGTAATTCATTTTCTAAGGAGGAAATTCTTTGAAGTCGTATGTAAGTTTTAAATATTTTTAATATTCCAAACAATCAAATTGAATTAGAATTACAATACCTATAGTACATGTAACTTCCTAAACTACATAAAGATACACAGCGGGTTTCAGTAAATGTTCTAACTTGAGCCTCTATCTTTACTCCTCACCAAAAATATTAACAGCAGGGAAATAGAAACATCAAGAGCACTGTACAACAATAAATTCGAGAACTGGTGTGAATCAGATGTGGATATACCGTATATTTACTTAAAAATCAGGTTAAATACTGAAAACTTCTTATTATACTGGTACTAATAATTTCAGATTCTATTAGTTTATATTTGTTCACTTGTAAGTACGTTTGTAGGTTGGTGTGTTGGGAGTTGGGTGGGGTCACAGAACACATATACTGAACTAATTGTTCTTTTACATTATGTTAAATTCGATATCCATGAATTGCTTTTTAATTAATCATTTTTATATTTCAATTTCCCAAATATTTAATACAATTTGTGTATTAAACTAGTGATTCAGAAAAGCTATGTGTTTTTCTATTTATTAACCAATACGAAAAAAAATGCAGCGGTTATACAGTTTACAAATTAGGTCGCGAAAAAACTGCGAATATTAGCATTTTACGCACTTCTTGTGCCACAGTTAAATTTGAACTGGTGGAGAACCCTGACCTTTCCCCACCATAAACTAAAATCCAGGCTTTTTCACGTCACAGACAGCTGCTTATTCAATAAAAATGGAACTTGTAGATTTACTTGTCATTGGTCATTTGCAAAATCATTTCGTTCAAAAACATTCTGATTGTACAGAAAAGTACCCCGAAGTTGACACTAAAATTCTATGGTCGATATAATGACCTTGTTAGCAAATACAATCTATTGTTAAGTCGAATGTTGACTGTCGTTTTTCATAAGAATTGTTTGGCTATTATTTTCACACTGAATTGTATACGGATTTCTCCGTTGCCCGATCACGACAAGGAGCACACGGCGAGAATGACCGATCGACAGGGGATGCTTACTCCTCCATGGCACCTGATCCTACCTCTGATGTGTTTGAGGTCCGTCTTCGCTCGGTCCCAGTGTGTATTGTTCCAATGTTGTTTTAGCATGATTGCTGTTTGTTTTTGTTTTCTTAAGCTTGTTTTTTTTTCCATTTCCATTTTTTTTAATGACTTTCTAATCATTTCTTAACTTTGTCCCGAGGAAGGGACAGGGGTCTCAAAAAATTTGACAATTTTTATTTTTGGTGTCGTTGCAAAAATGCAAGGAAAATTAAATTACACAAAGGAATGTCAAAAAAACCTGTTAAAAAAAAGATTAAAATATTTATATTTTCGTATGCTGTTGACCTATCCTTAAGATTTGTCATGATCTTGACTGGAGTCTTAGTCAAAGAAGAATGAGATGCTTAAACCACCACACAAATCATGTTCATTTCATGAAATGAATGTTTTAGTATGTGAAGTTGAAATTTACCAGAATGTCAGGATCTTCATCATTATCAGGTTATGTAGATTTATTAGATAGTTCACTCCTCTATGGCACCTGATCCCACCTCTGATGTTTTAGAGGTCTGTGTTTGCTCTGCTCCAAAATTTGTATTGTTTAATGGATTTTGAGCTTGAATGCTGTTCGTTATCTCCATACATTTCATAGTTGGAAAGAAAACCGGAGGTTAGTGTTCAATGGTAGAAAAAAGTGGCATTTCTTGCACAAAAATTTTAACTTTTTTTTTAATTTCACTTTAACCTCAGTCATATTTTATCAGATACAATCTTGGCAATAAATATATTCCAAAATAGTTTAAATAAATTATTCTATTTTAAAAAAAAATAGTGTCCTTTTTGCATTTATTAACCATCATGATAGTGTGTTATATGCTTGTGAAAAAGCGAAAGTATATAATGGAATGTGAAGTAACGAACAGTTTTCATGCACCAATTTTAAACTATGTAAATTGAGAGGGGGAGCAGTTCAGAATCCCGGAAATCACGTGCCATGGAGGATTATTCTTCCTAAATAATTTTCTGTAGTTGATACTTAATACAGAAATTAATGAATGGATTTACTTAACATCTTAACATTGTTCATTATATATAATTTCGAAATTATTGTGATATTAATATAAAAATAAAAGCAGAGGGAATTGAAGCTAAACACATATTGTGTCATTATGATGTTATATCCGAAAAGAGACTCTAAAGTGTGTGGATAATGGTTACTTAATCATTTAAAAAGGAGCCAGTTTACTCTGAAAGTAAACACAAATATAGCAAGAGAATGTTTAAGTCAAACACGATTACCTAAAATCACCTATGAAAACAAATGCATTCAACACCATGCCTTCATTCTACCTCTACTTAACACTTCCTTGTCCACTTAAGTTTTATTTGCTTTTTGCAGGAGTCTTTTTCTCGACTGTACCCACACTACACATGTATCTCGATTCAGTCTCTGAAAGAACCCTATAGAGATCACATTCAAATGTCAACTCTTTGTGACTATGATCAGATTGTCTCCTTGTTTATTCAAGATGACTTGTTTAAAATATATTTGCTTAATGTTCCTTACACTGCCCCGTCGAAACCTGGGCAGGGGTGGCGGTAATGTGATGTAGTTTACAGCATACTATAGAAAAAAGCTACTTTTTAAATGTGCCCCTTAATAATTTTGTCTGATGACATTTTTTTTGTCAAGGAATTTTTGTTTGGTAGTATCCCCAAACTGAAATTGCTTCCTACGGGCCCT